AGTCTGGGCGACAGACTGAGACTCCAATTCAAAAAAAAAAAAGATTTGCCATCTTTACTCTTGTTAAGTATGCAGTTTAGCAGCACTAAGAACATTCCCATTGTGCAGGCATCAGTACCACCATCTCCAGAGCTCTTGCCATCTTGGAAAACTAAAACCCTGTGTCCCTCAAACCACAATGTCCCATTTCTTCTCCCCTAGCCTCTGGTGACATTTCCCTACTTTCTTTCTCTATGATTTTGACTACTCTAGACACCTCACCTAAGTGGAGTCATATAGCATTTGTCCTTGTGTGATTGGCTTACTCTACTCAGGATAATGTCCTTGGAGCTCATCCATGTTGTAGCATGTGTCAGAATTTCCTTCCTTGTGTGGTGTAACATGCTTACCCCCTTGGGTTGTTTCCATCCTTGACTATTGCAAATAATGCTGCTATGAACATGGGTATACACCTATCTCTTCTAGTCCTCGCTAATAATTTTTGTGAAACAACAATCATAGTAGTTGTGGATACTCTCATATAGCTGTACTACAAACAGTTGCTGTTGTAGGGGATGGGATTAGTGGGGAGTTTTACTTTCTTCTGTGGTTTTAATTTGAAACTTTTTTTACTATTTATTTATTTTGAGTAGGAGTCTCACTCTGTTGCCCACGCTGGAGTGCAGTAGCACGGTCACAGCCACCGCAGCTTCGACTTGCTGGGTTCAGGCAATCCTTCTGCCTCAGCTTTCTAAGTAGCTGGAACCACAGGTGCGCACCACCATGCCCAGCTAATTTCTTCATTTATTGTAGAGATGAGGTCTGGTCAAGTTGCCCAAGCTGGTCTCAAACTCCTGGAATCAGGCAATCCTCTCACTTCTGCCTCCCAAAGTGGTGAGATTACAGGCACGAGCCACCGCTCCCAGCTTTTTTACTTTTTATTAAGGAAAATTAAAGCCATAATGAGGAGTAAGTCTCATTGTATAAGGAACCCCCATGTACCTTTCACCTGCTCTGCATATTGTTAACTTGTGTCCACATGTTCACTCTGTGACCCATGGTATCATTTTGAATCAAATCCCAGATATTTTATCATCACAAACATTACAAACAGGCCAGGCGCAAATCTGGGTGTGGTGTAATCTCAGCACTTCAGGAGGCAGAGGCAAGAGGTTTGCTTGAGCTCAGGGGTTTGAAACCAGCCTGGGCAACTTGGCAAGACCTCATCTATACAATAAATCAAGAAAAATTAGCCAGGCGTGGTGGCGCAGGCCTGTAGTTCCAGCTACTTGGAAGACTGGGGCAGAATGACCGCCTGAGTCCTGCAGGTCGAGGCTGCGGTGACTGTGAGCGTGCCACTACACTCCAGCTTGGGCAAGAGTGAGACTCGACTCAGGAAAAAAAAAAGCACACACAGAGGTCACAGATAACCACAATCCCATAAACAAATCTAACAAATTCAACAGTAATTGCTGAATAGCATCATGTCTGCAGTCATCAGTATTCACATCTCCAATTGTCTCATGAATGTCATCTTTTTTTTCCTTTTTGAAAGCAGGGTCTTGCTCTGTTTCCTATGCTAGAGTGAAGTAGTGCCGTCATAATTACTGCAGTCTCAAACTCCTGGGCTCAAGCGATTCTCTTGTCTCAGCTTCCCAAGTAGCTGGGACTACAGCCACCTGCCACCGTGCCTGGCTAATTTTTTTTTTTTTTTTTTTTAAAGAGGCGAGTTCTCTCCTGCAGGTTGATCTTGAACTCCTGGGTTCAAGTGAACTTTCTACCTCTGCCTCCCAAAGTGCTGGGATTACAGGTGTGAGTCATTGCACCTGGCCTATCCTTTTTTAAAAACAAACAAACAAAAGATACAATTTGTTCTTTGAGCCAGGAGCCAAATGAAGCCATGTGTCACAATTGGTTCATATGTTTCTGAGTGTCTCCTAAGTTTCCCCTCCCTATGTTGCGGTTTTCCTGGATTTTCTTCTCTGCTCATTCTGACTTTCCTTCTGTAATAGGAGTAGAGGTGAGGTACCCACACGGCTCTGGGTAAAGGCCTGTCCTTCTCCCCTCCTGCCACAGGACCGGGACTTTGTGACCAAGCAGAAGGAGGACCTGGAGCTGGCCATGAAGAAGCTCACAGCCGACAACAGGCGGGAGATCTGTGACAAGGAGCGTGAGTGCCTCACCAGGAAGCAGGAGCTCCTGCGAGGTAGGACCCTGGGTGGCAGTGCCATCGGGCCCAGCCTCTCCAGACACCCCACCCCAGGAGTGGGCAGGCAAGGAACAACCAGTAGGCCTCCTCCATCCTCAAAACTAAGCATCATCCTTCATGGAGAAACTCTGGTGAAAACCCCACTGGAGGCAGGGCGCAGTGGCTCATGCCTATAGTCCCAACACTTTGGGAGGCTGAGATAGGATTGCCTGAGCCCACGGGTTCGAGACCAGCCCGGGTAAGTTGGTGAGACCTTGTCTCTACCATAAATCAAAAAATTAGCCGGGCGTGGTGGTACGCGTCTATAGTTCCCGCTGATTGGAAGGCTAAGACGGAAGGATCGCCTGAGCCCAGCAGGTCGAGGCTGTGGTGGCTGTGAGCGTGCCACTGCAATACAGCCTGGGCGATAGAGTGAGACTCTAAGTCAAGAAAAAAAAAGAAAACCCCACTACCTACTAGAGTTAGGAAGGAGGCAAGCACACAGTTGTCACCAGCACTGTTTGACATGACACTAGAAGTCAAGGGAGACAAAGAATGGAAGAGGCAAAGAGTGGGTGCAAAGTGGTTTTTTTTGGTTTTTGTTTTGTTTTTGAGTCAGAGTCTCACCCAGGCTGGAGTGCAGTGGCATGCTCACCTCCACTGTAGCCTTGACCAGGCTCAGGCGATCCTTCCACCTTAGCCTTCCAAGTAGCTGGAACCACAGGCATGTGCCACCACATGCCTGCTAATTTTTATTTATTTATTGTAGAGATGAGGTCTCGCCAAGTTGGTCTTGAACCTCTGGGCTCAGGCAATCCTTTTGCCTCTGCCTCCCAAAGTGCTGGAATTACAGGCATGAGACACCACTGTGCCTGGCTGTTTTTCTTTTGAGTGAGGACCTCACTCTGTCACCCAAGCTGGAGTACAGTAGCACATTAAGCCTCACTGCAGCCTTGACCATCCTACCATCCTGGGCTTAGGTGATCCTTCTGCTGGATCCTTCTGCTGCAGCTTTCTGGTAGCTGGGACTATAGCCACACACCACCATGCCTGGCTAATTTTTGTATTTTTGGTAGAGACGAGGTCTCACTATGTTGTGCAGGCTAGTCTCAAACAGCTGGGCTCAAGCAGACCTCCTGCCTTGGCCTCCCAAAGTACTGGAATTACAGGTGTGAGCTACTGCACCTGGCCTGGAAATTGTTACCAAGTGACCTGTGTTCATGGGGTAGTAGAGACAGGGGATAGCCCCATCCAGTGACTGTTGCCAGGGACCAGGACATTTACATTTTCATACCTTTCACCTTCACCCTAGGAGGCAGGTCCTACCTTTTTTTTTTTTTAAGTTGGAGTCTCCCTCTATCACCCAAGCTGTAGTCCACTGGTATGCTTAGGGCCACTGCAGCCTCAACCTGCTGGGCTCAGGTGATCCTTCTTCCTCAGCCTTCCAAGTACCTGGAATCACAGATGCATACCACTGTATGTATCCCAGCTAATTGTTTATTTATTGTAGAGACAAGGTCTTGCCAAGTTGTCCAGGGTGGTCTCAAACCCCTGGACTCAAGTAATCCTCTTGCCTCTACCTCCCAAACTGTTGGGATTACAGGTGTGAGCCACCATGCCTGGCTATCCCCTTTTTATAGATAAAGAAACTGAGGCTTGGGGAATTACTATTCTTTGACTGAGAGTGTTAGTCTATTCATACTGCTATTAAAAAGTACTCCTAAGTGGGTGGCTTGTCAATAACTGAAATTTACTTCTTTCATTCCTGGAGACTGGGAAATTTACCATCAAGGCGCTACCAGACTTGGGGTCTGATGAGAGCTGATCTCTGTTTCATAGGTGGCACCTTCTTGCTGTGTCCTCATGTAATGGAAGGGAGAGTAGCTCTCTGGGGTCTTTTTTTTTTTTTTTTTTTTTTTGAGTTGGAGTCGCACTCTGTCACCCATGCTGGAGTGCAGTGGCACACTCATAGCCACCACAGCCTGATCTGCTGGGCTCAGGTGATCCTTCCACCTCAGCCTTCAGAGTAACTGGGACTATAAGTGTGCACCACAACACCCAGCTAATTTTTTGATGTATTGAAGAGATGAGGTCTTGCCAAGTTGCCCAGGCTGGTCTCGAACTCAGGCAATCCTCTCATCTCAGCCTCTCAAAGTGCTGGGATTATAGGCATGAGCCACTGCACCTGGCCTCTGGGGTCTCTTTTGTAAGAACACTAATGCAGCTAGGTGCAGTGGCTCATACCTGTAATCTCAGCACTTTGTGAGGGCAACATGGGAGGATTGCTTGAGCTCAGGAGTTCGAGACCTGCCTGGGCAACATAGCAAGACCTCGTTTGTACAAAAAAAAATTAGCTGGGCTTGGTGGCACCTACCAGTAGTCCCAGCTACTGAGGAGGCTGAGGCAGTAGGATTGCCTGAGTCCAGGAGGTTGAGACTGAGATGAGCCTTAATTGTGCCCCTGCACTCCAACCTGGGTGACAGAGCAAGACTTCAATTTAAAAACGAGAGAGAGCCGGGCTCAGTGGCTCAGCCTGTAATCCCGCGCCTTTGGGAGGCTGAGGTGA